CCTAACCCTAACCCTAACCCTAAGAAACGAGAGAGCAGCTTAAGGAAGTCTTCAGCCACATAGCGCGCGGCTGGTGCTGCCGGCAAACGAGAAAGCGAGCGAAGAAGCGCGACTCAAGCAGGAAACCGTGCAGCACGAGGTCAGAACTGCCAAGTTCCCGCTCCAGCGACGCGGAAAGAACCGTGTGAGCTTGGCGAGTCAGCAGAGGTGCTTCGCGACGGGCAGAAAGCGAGTAAGGAGGGAGAGAGGCGGACGGAGGACTTGCGGGCGAAAGTGTCGTTTCGTGGTTGCACACTCCTACGAAGGTCGGGGAAGGTAGGGCGGCGGTGAAAACGAGCGCGAGGGTAGCAACGGGGCGGCATCGGGCGAAAGAGAGACGTGGAAAAGAAGCAAGCCAGCGAGAGATCAGAAGCGGAACGGACTTCAGCCAGACACGAACGCACGGGCAAGCCACCTATGCCCACCAGCAAGGCATCCGCACGCCTGTAAGAGCGAGGGCAGTGTGTCAGCAGTCGCCCAATCCCGACGCCGAGGCCACGAGACGAAGCAGGAATCGACGAAAGCAGGCGCACCGGGCCAGTCGTCGCTGAACGGCCGAAGTTATGCTGCGTAAGCGATCCAGCGCTGTCAGTATCGTTCTCTGCGCACGCTGCGCAAGCGTTGGACCTCCGACTGCTCTCTCGCCCGCTCGTCGAGTCCTGGCAGGATGAGCAGCCGAGTTCCCCAGCCCGTTTCCCGCTTTTCCAGGAGGCCGGCTAACACGCAGTCCTCCCAAGAACTCACACGCTACCGTCGCATGCACCCAGTCCCATCCCACGCCGCGTGCAAGCCGAGCGAACAGGGAAACGCACCGGGACTTGGGAGGTCGAGCGACGGCGTGAGGCGGGGGCGGGTCAGGCGGAGGTGGCGTATGAGCATCGATGGAGCCAATAGCCTGGGCTTAGCGAGCCCAGCAAGCCTTGTAAGCGGAGCGAGCGTTGTCGAGGAGGACAAGGAGCGACTCGCTCCCTTGTCCTCGTCCACAACACTCGCACAGCGCTAGGTGCTCCGCTTGATCCAGAAGATTGGTGCCAGAGGCTGTAACACCTTGCCTACCGGCCGCCAGAAGCCCCCAACGTGTTGCGCCCGCTCCTGCTCCTCGTTGAACTTCGAGCACGTCCTGAGACTCGTCGCCGGCTGCTGCTTGAACGCCGTCTTGCTGCTGCTTGTGTTACTGATTGCGCACTCCCGCACGTACGCCCACCATGCCGCGCAACCCCGCTTCCTCGCGCTCCTCCTCTTCCTCCTCCGAGTCCACCACTAGCTCCTCCCCCTCGCACGAGTCCGACCGCGAGACGCCGCGCAAGACTCGACCTACGATACCCTTTCCCACGCACCTAAACAGCTTGGCAATCCGCAGAGTGACTTGCCTTCCTTCGAATTCGTGAAGTCCCGTCCACTGAATCAATCGTCCGTTCAAACAGGCCTGTCGCTACCCGCTCATCCAGCAGGCGCTACCAAGACTCGACACCGCAATCCGAGCCATGAACGCCTTCCTCTCGCGCCATCCCTGCCTTGCAGCGTTCTGCGCGCATTCCTGCCGACTCACATGCCGCCTCTTCCCCCTCGACCGCATTGACCGAGTAGCGAACAAGACACTCGATGTCGTCGAGTACCTCATACCGAGCATCAAGGGCCAGCTGCCGGATCTCAGGGGACAGGTGCGATCTCTTGTCGCGCTTGACCAGGACTGGGCCAGAGTCGGACTGACGCCCTCGTCTCTTGCGGCAGCCCTTTGCTCCCGAGATGCTCAAGGAGGTCAAGCGTGTTCGCAGGGACTTGCCCGGTATACGAGCGCGCCTGGCGGCAGAGCTGGATCAAGGCAAGTCTCCGCCTCGTCCCCGAACCAGTACTCGACCGCTGACTGCTTTTCCGGCAGGCTGTCCGGACCTCGACGACCTAGGCGACGTCCTCGTCGACTTGATCTATGCCGCGGACTACATCTCAATCGCAGCAGAACAGAGTGGCTGCCAGGTTGAAGCGCTTCTCACCGTGCATCTCAAGATCCGCCGGGAGTGGAGCTACGGTGAGCCCACGCTGTACCTCACCTCTCGTTTAACAGGCGCTGATGGCCTCAAGCTCGCAGGGAACCACTACACCGTCCTCGCTGGACACGCGCTCGACTATATCGACAACTGGCTCTCTCCACTGCTCGAGCAGATCCAGGAGCCTCCTGCGCCTCCCGTCACGCACACGCAGACGTAGTGATCCTCAAAAGATTCGAGTATCCGTGCAATCCAGGGCCCGTCTCTGCCTGCCTGTCCGAGGAGTCTCTCCGTCAGTCGCGAGAGCGCAAGAAATGCGAGCAAAACCTCTTCGTTCCGATTCGCAACACCCCTTTCACGTCCTACGGCCCACCCACACTCCTCCGCTCACCCGCACTACCGGTCCCAAGGTACCGCCTCACGACCAAGCCGAGCAAATCCACCCCCCTCAATCGCCCAATCAACACCGCAACGGCAAAGACCACCGCAAGATCGCCTGCTGCGCGCCGTGCGGATGACGCGACGGCGCCAAGGAGGCGGAAGACGAGTGCGAAGAAGGAGGGTTGCGAAGGGGAGCGGGTTCGAAGGGCGAGGGCGGGCGAGGAGGACGAGGGAGGGAGAGAGACGTTCCGGCGTAGTGCGACCATCACCAACAGGCGATTGACCGTCTCCTTCAGGAGCCCGAGCGGTCCCGAGCCGGTAGAGGGCGACGCGGGCAAAGGCGAAGGACCGGCGTGTTCTTCGAGGAGCGAGAGACGCTCGTGTAGCGCCGTGAGGGAGACTTGGATCCGCTCAAGTGCGGCGTCGAGGCCCGGTGGCGGTTGTGCGACGGAGAGCGGGGCTTGGACGGGCGCGGGCGAGGGAGGCGGGAGAGAAGGTGGAGGAACGGAGACGGCGCGCAAGTTCGAGGCGGTGAGAGGAAGAGAGGGCGTTCCGGCTGCGAGCGACGGTCCCGCGGCGATTGAAGGAACCGCCGAACGAGGGACTGGCGTCGAACCCGCGTTCGAGCGGATCGACGAGGCGACATGGCGCGGTGGAGGTGGCGGTCTCGCGCTAAGCGACGCCGGCGCAGGGTGGTACTCGCTCGCTCGTCGCGCGTATGCCTCCTCCTCCGACGCCGAATCGTACGACGAGCCGGTCGAGTACGCGTCGTCCGGGACTTGTCGTCGTCGAACTGGATCCGCGCGCGTTCGAGGCGGACCGTAGCCTGGCAAGGGCGGTGCGACTTGTTCTGGCGTAAGGCGGGAGTAGTGTGAGCCGGTCATAGAGGGCGGAGCGAGGCGGCTGGGCTGGCGGGAGGGCGTCTGTCGAGCGGATTGCGAGGGAGGGACGAGAGGAGGCGGCATCGAGCGGGATGCAGAGGCGGAGGGTCCAACAGCGGGTCGTCGGTCGTCGTACGATGCAGTCGAGGACGAGTCCGAGCCCGTGTCAGTCGCCGACGTCGAGGCTGCATTCGCGAGAAGACGCGTAGACGATCAGCTTCGAGAAAAGCCGCGCAAACGATCGCAGCGCCTCGCGCGACGCACCTCGTCTCCTCGCCTTTGCTCCCGCACCTGCTCCTCCCGGTATGTCCATCTCAAAGTGCTCCAACTCGCGTAACAACTCGACCGCCTGCGTTCGGTCCGAAAAGCTGCGGAGGATCTGTGCGAAGTGGTCCCCAGCCATGAGTTCGAGTTCTGCGCAGCTGCAAGACCCGAAAGCAATGAAACAAACTGCGAACGCACCTGCAGCAACGCCTCGACGTACAGCCGCTCCGCCTCGAGCTGGCTCATCCCCTTCCGCTTGTTCCAGGCGTCCCTGTGCGTCGGAGGGAATCTCCTAGTCAGCTGGATGTCCGACAGACGCCGACAACAGACTCTGACGACAGATCGCCCGGACGCACCACTTTGCTCGTCCGAGAATGTCGAGCATGCCCGGTCGCGACGACTTGACATCGCCCTCGGTGGCTGCGCGAGTTTCAATCCCGTCAGCCTGCGCCCTCGTCTCCACGGTCTCGTCGTACACACCCTGCTTGTACACGCTGCGCACGGAAGGAAGGGCGTCAACACTCTCTCGCCCGGCAAATGAGCGTGCGACGACGAGCGAACGCACCTGTACAGCGTGAGTTTCTGCTCGTAGCTGGTCTGGATCGGGCCGCTCTTTGGCAGACTGTGCGCGCATAGACAACCTCTGTCAACACGCTTCGAGCAGGTGGACGCCAGGTGGTGCCCTCGGGAGGAACAACACGGCGACGACGGCTTCAAAGCGAGTGGACGCACCTCTGGATGATATCGACAGCCCGTTCAAACCGTCTGCGTTCCACATCGTAGAACACGAAGCAGTCAGCGCGCCAAGCGAGGCGTGTTCGCAGAGTGTTCGATGAGGAGCTCACGCGTGAACCCAGTCCGGGTTGGTGGCGAGCGGATGGGGCGGCGCGCGAGACCGCGTCGAGTAGCTCGAGATGCTCGTCATCACAGCAACAGTACAGCGCGAGAGACGCGAGCGAGCGATGTCGAAGAGCGTGAGAGGCGGCGACGAGGAGGAGGGGCTCGCAACGACGGCGGCGAAGTGAGCGCTTCGACTGTCTGAGCTGCTTCTGATGACGTGGGAAAGAGCGCAGAGTAAGACTTGCAGCAAAAGAAGCGCGCGACGAAGAGACCGCTTCGCTCTCTCACGCCGGCAACTCGCTGAATGCGCAGGGATTGGGCCGAGCGACGCCGTTCACCGTTCATCGACACAACAGCAACACCCTCTACGCCACCGCGCTATCCGCCGCAACCCTCAGCGCCACAACCCCCTCCCTCGCCGCCTCACTCGCATCCTCCTCGCCCGCGACTCGCTCCATCCACCAAACGACCTCGAGCGCCTTCTTCCGTACTTCGCTTGTCGCGGGAAGTTTGGTGACTGGACCGGGGATGGAGCCGCGAGTGGGGTGGGAGAGGTGGAAGAAGGGCGCGAGGACGGGCGCGAGCGAAAGGAGGGCCTGCGGGCGTAGAAGTCGCAGAGTAAGCGCGCGTGCGCGAGACATCCGAAGCATCTCTATCATAGGTGAACGGAGAGGAGACGCACGGCTGGAGGTACGGGACCGGACGAGCCTTGCTGCAAGAGCTTGAGGAGGACGATAAGGATGAACTGCGACGAATAGCAATTGAGCGAGAGTTAGACACAATACCGGCGCTGAATCGCAGCTCTCGTCGCCAAGGACGACCAAAGAAAGCGAATCAACCGAGAGCAGCGGCCGACTCACCTCCATATCGTCCTCCCTCGCCTCGCCCTGCTGCCCGCACTCCCACAACCACTTTGGCAGTCCAGCGACCCACCGCGCCGCGGCGTTTGCTTTGACGTCCTTGGCGTTCGGGTTCGAGAGCGAGGAGGGGAAGGCGGGTGTGGAGGGGAGGGAGAAGGGAGCGGTGTAGGACGGCGACGAGTGGATCTGCGCGTATCGAGATCGCGAACATAAAGTCAACATCACTTGCAGAGGATGCGAGTCCGACGGGACCAGATGGCGCGATCGCGCACTCACCAACACCCCCCTCGCAACAAACTCTCCCGCCAACCTCTTCGCCGCGCCCTTCCTCTCGCCCTCACCCGCGTTAACCCCACTCTTGACCGCATACTCGACCACCGCGCTCCACACCTCGTCCGCGCGTGCTGAGGAGGGCTGGTTGAGGAGGGCCCAGAGGGTGGGCGTGAGGGAGAGGAAGTGAGAGGGGGAGAGGGGCTGGCCGAGCGGTGAGGCGGGGGTGGTGAGCTGTGTGGCGGAGCGAGCGATGCATGAGCGAGGAGACGAGAAGTGAAGAAGCGAGATCTGGGACGCACCTCGCCCCTCAACGCTGCGACGACCCACTCCTGCACCCTCTCAAGCACGACCTCCTCGACCCTCTCCTCCTTCTCGCGCTCCTTCTCCCCTCGCTTTCCCTTCCAAATCCCCTTCTCCCTCGCACCCCTCCCCGATCCCGCAGAAGTAAGCACCAACAAGCTACTCAACTCCGCAAACGCAAGGTTCATCACCCTGAAGTGCTCCTCGTCCGCTTGTTGCTGCTTCTTCGATCCCGTGCTTGCTGCTGCTGAAAGGGAGTCGGACGAGCCGAAGGGGAAGTAGGGACTTGCGTGCGTCAACAACGCGAGAAGCATCTTGCGAGCCGGGCCGGAGGAAGAGGTACTGGAGGAAGCGAGCTCGCGCGTGAAGAGTTCGCGAGAGATGGAGAGGACGGAAGAGACGGTGCCGAGGTGGTGTGTTGGGCCGGTCAGGGTCGAGGCGACGGAAGTCGGAGTGAAAGCGGTCGGTGCAGAGTCGAGGAACGAGGAGAGGAGGGTCGGGTGGAGGAGGGAGAGAAGAGTCGGTTGCGCGGAGGTAGGAGCGGAGGTCGAGGCGGTCGGGGTCGCAGGCGGAGTGAACAGCCCGCACTCGCTCAACCCCAGCGCCGCGCCTCCAACGCCGAACGCCGCCTCAAACGCCTCGACCTGCACGCCCTCAATCTCCTCCCTCACGCGCACCACCCTCCGACTCCGCCTCGCCGTTCCTTCAAAGCCCGCCAAAAAGTCCCTATACGCCTGCTCCGACTCGAACGCTCCCCTGAGATACCACGGCTCTTCCGCCTCTACTCCCCTTTCCTTCTGTCCGACGACGCGCAAGACCCGCTCGAGGGTGCCGAGGACTTTGAGACGCGCTTCGGGCGAGAGGTCGGTTGCGATTGCGGTGCCGGAAGACGCAGAGGAGGAGAGGCGGATTTTGAGGAGCGAGAGGAGGGACTCGAGGATGCGAGAGCCGGAGGTGGAGGAGTCGGACGAGGAGGCGGAGGTCGAAGCGTCGGGTGCAAAGGTCGACGAGCTGGAGGAGGAGGAGATGGGCCGGGAGGGGTCGATTCCGCGGACGAGGTCGTCGGGGATGGTGGCAAGGAGGACGTCGATGACCTTGAGAGCGTCGATGCGGACGGGATCGTCGAGGGACGACAGCGCCGACAGCGTGAACAGGACGAGCGTGTTCGAAATCGACACAAAGCTCGTTCGTGGGAGGACCTCGGCGATGTGCTCGAGCACCTTCCTCACCTCCGCCCTGACGCTCCCACTCGCATCTCCAACAAGATGCGCAAGCGAATTCGAGAGCGGAAGGAGGTGTTGCTGGAGGAGGAACGGGTGCGAGAGGAGGAGTTGGTGGATCTCGACGAGAGCTTCGCGCTTGACGGGGACGGAGTAGTGGCGCGTCTGGATAAGAAGTTCGGGGAGGGTCAAGTTGCGTCGAGATGTCGGGGCGGACTTGGGCGCCTCGGAGAGCGACTGGTTCGGGAGGGCGATGGCTGCGTGAGCAAGGTCTGTTAGTGAGTTGTCACCTCCGAGATGCGGGTGGACGCACACTTGGCGGTGAAGGACGTGTTTGTCGCATTGTTGGCGACCTGCTTGCCCTTGCCGAGCTTGAGCTTGGCTTTCTGCAGGGAGGGAATGAAGAGATGGTTAGCTACGCTCCAGCAGGCCATCCAAGTTGAGCTCAGTCCGCATGCCTGCAACCCTGTTTGGCGTTTCCAGCTCCTCGACGAGGCGATCACGCGCATCTCATCCGCACGCCAACCGTGCAGAGCGAGACGCCATCCTCCGGAGACTCCTCGCGATGATAAATTCAGCTCCGGAGTCCCGACAACCGCCCGGAATGCCCTCGAGACAATACCCCTCGTCCCGCTACACCCAGCCTCTCCTCAAAGTCGCCCGACGAGAGAACGAGGACCCTCGGGGCGAGCTCACGGTAAAGTCGGCGGCGCGCTCCTTCTTGTGCTTGCCGGACTTGGGCCTGCGTAGGTTCCTGCTGCGTTAGCTATGCCCTGGCAGTCTATTGAGTCCGCCTTAGCATCGAGCGAGCGAGAAGGGACGCACATCTTGTTCGGAGAGGGAGGTGAGTGAGGAGTGGGACTGGAGAGACGGGGCGACCGCGGGACAAGACAGGCAGCTCGAACGAGTCTAGCAAATGAGTCTCAGCGTGTCCAGCAGCCAGAACAAGCGAATCGAGGAGACTGACCCCGTTCAACTTCAGCGAGCTCGCCCTTGGGCAGCGACACTCATCTCTTGATGCTCACAACGCTTGCAGTGGCTCGCTGACTGCCTTGAAGTCATCCTACGATGCTTTGCTCTGACTGCGCCAGCTCTGGACTGCCCCCGCGCCCTGAGGATGACCCACGCACGCCCTCCGTCGCGAGTTGAGCGATGAAGTCGGCAGCTGGATCTGGCGACCTGGGCGGCAAAGCGAGGCTGACAGGAGCGCCTTCTGGGATTTGGAACTATGCAGGAATGGCCGACTGGGCGATTGCGGACGATGGCCGTCACTTTCCTTTGCTCGCCGTCACCTTTCGTGGTCGCCGCCCGCTTTACAAGCCTGTGATGCTGCTCCCAATCGTGCCGAAGAACGAGCCCTTTGATTTCTGAGCCGCACAACTTGAAGAGACTGCAGCTTGTCCGCTGCTGGCCGTTCCTCCAATGCTACAATACACCGGCTCTTCCTCAACTTTCCCTTCCGCCGCAATCTACACCGACCCCGAATTTATCGACGCAACTCCACGGCCTCCCCCCGCTCTCCCTATACGCGTCTCGGATCGACAGAGCCGAGCCAAACGTCCCGCCGGCGAGGAGGAAAAAAAGTCGCGAGGAACAGTATGAGGACGTTGAGGGCTATGCCGAGGATGGTGCCCTGCGCGGCAGCTCTTGCATGCTCGGATTTGCAAACAGTTGCGGATAGCTGGAACATCGACACGCCGGCGAGCGGGGCGCACGAGGAGTTGGCGGACAGAAACAAACGGCGCGGCGTTGGTCCACCGATCCGCCTCTACTGCCGTACGACCAGGCTCCCCGCCCCGCCAGCTCCATGACTCCGTTCCTTCGCATCTCGAGCCGTCCAGAGGCGAAATAGAAGGTTGGCCGGATGTAGCGCAATGAGAGGCGGGAAGATGAGGTGGGCCGGGCCAGCAGAGTTGGCGACGGGCATGCTGCGTGTGCGGAGCGGAATCTGGGCACCGCCTGCAAGTCACGATACCGAAGAGCAGACCGCGCAAAGAGCATGCCAGGCGAGGAGAGCAAGTCGACGAGAAGGAGGCGGACAAGCCGTTCGCTTCGGCTGCACAGCTCAGGCCAGTCGACCAGAGCGATCTCAAGCTGCACGCGTCGCAAGAGCGTATCTGGGCGAGTTGGCGTGAGCAGTGGTCGGGAGACAAGGGAGCGACTGGGCTTCGAGGTCGTCCATCGCGCCGCGTCTCCCCTAGCTGTCTGTGGACGTCTGCTAGTGTCGTTATACGCCTGCTGCTACCGATATCGACTTCCAGCGGAACCCCAAGCAGTGTGACGAGGTCGGACGGTGAGTTCATCGCTCGTCGTCGAGTTGAGCGACCACGAGGGCGAACGACGACGCGAGGGAGGATGCGGTTGGGCGAGGCAGACTATGGAGGACTGTGCTGGGCCGCCTAGTCCCTCACGAAGCTCCAGCGACGGTTGCGAAGTTGGAGGACGACATGGTCCACCCATCCTCATCGGGCGTCAGGTTGCTGGGATGCGGTTGCAGGGCGTCGCAGGTCCGACGACGATGCGTCGGTAGTTTATGAAGCTGTCCGCTCTGCGCCTGCCCCCGTCACAACACGACGAGACCGGAATCACTTCTCCTCGACTCGATAGAGGTGGATCAGCGCTCCCATGGCTCGCAAGAGGCGCGTTGGGCTTTCCTGCGCCAACAGCAATTCAAAGACTCCCTGGAATGAACACGAAGTACGTCGCTGACCTCTTCGACCTCCCCGCAGAACCGGACGACAGACTTGAACGCTCGCCATGGCCACCTTCTCCTTCGGTGCGTTTCTCCGGCCCACACAGATTAGACTCGAGCGCTCAAACTGCTCACGTCTCCAGGCTCGACAGCGCCGAAGCCCGCGACTCCCGCTCCGACTTTCAGTGCGCTCACACTTCCCTCTCGTCCTCGCATAACCGTGCTGACCCTTCGCCCGCAGGTTTCGGCGCACCGGCCACGTCCGCCGCACCAGCAGCTGGCACGACCCCCTCCCTTTTCGGCTCGACCACGACGCCCGCCGCCTCTACAGCCGCGCCATCGGGCGGCCTCTTCGGTTCCGCACCCGCAACGAGCGGCGCAGGCGGCGGTTTGTTCGGCTCGACTACTTCACAAGCGCCTGCGACGGGCGGCGGACTGTTCGGTTCTGCGACTCCTGCGACGGGAAGTGCGGCACCTCCGACAGGCGGGTTGTTTGGCTCGACGAACGCGGGTACGACGGGCGGACTGTTCGGCGCAAAGCCTGCGACGATTGGCGCGACGGGCGGGCTGTTTGGCTCGACGACGCAGCAGCAGCAGCAGCAGCCGGCGGCGGGAGGAGGGCTGTTTGGGAGCACGACGGCGCCTGCGACGGGCGGACTCTTCGGCTCGACGGCGCAGCAGCAGCCTCAGCAGCCCCAGCAGCAGCAGGCCCCCTCGCTGTTTGGCCAGTCGCAAAGCGCCGCCTCGGCCTCGCTCTTCGGCCCCAAACCCGCCGGCTCTTCCTCCCTCTTCGGCTCGTCCAACCCGCTCCTCGGCTCCTCCACCACCGCCCAACCCACCGCTCCCTCCGCTCCAATCCCCAAACTCGGCGACCCGCTCCCTGTAAACCCTAACGAACCCAGCATCGAATCGCGCTTGTCGGCGCTCAAAGACGCATGGGATCCGTCCAGTCCCAAGTGCAGGTTCCAGACGTACTTCTACAACGAGGTACCGGCGGGACAGAGCGTGGGGATGTATTCGAGGCCGGTTGAGGGCGCGAGGAGGGATGAGTGGGAGAGGGCGAGGAGGGAGAATCCCGAGCCGGAGAAGTGAGTCCGCGCACGTGTTCAGTTCTAGGCGGTCGCTCTCCTTGAGAGCACCACCGAACTGACCGCGCGTGGCTTGCTCACGCAGGTTGATCCCGGCGCTCGCACTCGGCTTCCCCTCGCTCCAGACGCGGCTGAATCTCCAGCAACGCCTCAACAGCCAACACCAAGCGCTCCTTCACGAGATCCACACACACCTCGACTCGCTCTCGTCCTCTCACTCGCTCACGACCTCCCTCCGCACGCTCCGGGCACGCCAGAACGCCGTTGCGCTCGCTGCGCGGCTGAACGCGCTCGTAGCGAAAGCAAGCGCCCTGAGTCCGGCTCGGAACGCGGGGATCAGGAGGGAGGAAGACGAGTTGCGTGTTGAATTGGAGGGACAGGTCAAGGGCGAGGTGGAGCGTGTCAAGGCGCGGATGGGAGAGCTGTGGGCTGGTGTGGGGGCGGTCAAGGCGAGGAAGGGGATTGCGCAGGGTGCGGGTGGAGATGAGGAGGGTGCGGGGTGGGCGGTCGCGGACGAGGAAGGCTTGCGGAAGATCCTCGAGGTGCGCGTGCAGAGAACCTCTTTCTCTCGCCCGTGACTGACGCTCGTGGCCCCGCAGATCCTCGGCTCCCAGCAGTCTGGTCTGGACCACCTCACGCGCACGCTGCAGACGATGGCGCGCGACGTCGATGTCATGAACGAGGCGTTCGGGCTGCAGCGGACCAAGGTGGCGGATGTGGGACCGGTCGGTGCGGCGGGTGAGGGGCGGTAGGTGCATAGGGTGTAGGCGGTGGTGGTCCGGTGTTATCTGGACGCGTTCGAGGCAATAAGGACGGCAGAGTCGTTCGAGAGTTGCTGGTTTCGCTGTTTGGCTCGTTCGTTCGCTTCCGTTCGGCCTGACTGGCTTCGCTCGGTTATCTGTGTGATTAGGAGAGTACTTACACGCCGCCCAGTCACGTCAAAGTCGCCGTCGTTGTGACTTCTTTCGTCCCCCACTTTCTCTCGCTCCGGCCAGTCGCTCTCCTCCCGCTCTCATTGCACCGTGCACTTCGCTTGCACTCGCTCAAGCTACAAGAAGGTTCGTGCATCATCGCTGAGCTGGTCCTACGCTGCCGCACTGCTTGCAACGTGCGGTGGAACGAGTGTCGGTCGACTTGGGCTTGGTCGGGTAACGGCGAAGATGCAGGGCGAGGGAAGCGCTGGTGGTGCTTGGGTACGACCTGATGAAGTCCACGAGGTGGACGCGACCCGTTCTCGCGGCGCGGAAGGCTTTGTCGCTGATCTGCCGCCTCGCGCGACCTTGCCGACGAGGTGGACCCTGCACCAACTCGCTTCAGACGGGCTGAAACGGGTACTGACAGGTGCTCGACGACCCACAGACCCAGTATGGACTCGCCCCCGCACCGCCCTCCGTCGCCGGACGACCCCTTTCTCGAATTCTCCTCGCCTCCGCCGTCGCAACTCCTCCCGCTCCCTCCCGGCATCTACACGCTCCTCCCACTCGTTGACGCGGCAGACAACGTTGCGCTCCCTGTCCAAGGACCGTGGGACGGAATCAGCTGCAAGAAGAGGTGGGAGGAGTGGGTTGCCAAGGCGTCTGTCGCGAGTCGCTTCATGCCCGAGGAGCAAGAGGCGCAGGATTCGGCACTCGCAGACGACGACGACGAAGACGAGGCACCGACGACGGAGCCCGTCGCAGGACGGCGCAAGCCTACGAAGCAAGAACTCGACGCCGAGTTTCTGGCGCCTTTCTTCGTCTCTCTCCCGCCTGCTCCGCCCGGCACGCCCGCACGCCGTCGCTCTTCGGGCGCCGCATCAGCGACTCGTCCTTCCTTCTCCCGCCTGACCCCGCTCGACTCATCCTCCTCTCGTCCTTCGACGCCCGCCGCTTTCGTACATGCGACGCCCCAAACGACCAGCTCCGTCCTCTCCTCCCAGCCCATCGGCTTCCTTCGCCCCTCGATCGTCCGCGCCTTGATCGACGACAACCTTTCCCTCCTCCGCATGAACTGCAAGCCAGTCTGGGCGTTCCAGCCACCGATCCACTACCCCGCGGACCAAATCGAGCCTCCTCGTACTCCGCGTCGTCGCTCGAGCGTGCGGCGTGACAGTACCAGCGCGAACGGGAGTCGTCGACCAAGCATGCAGGAGGAATTCGCAGGCGAGGGAGGCGTCAAGTTGCAGGAGGTTTTGGACGGATTGAGGAGGGTCGAGCTGGGTGGACGCGGGGGCACGGGCCCGTGGGCCGTTGCGTTCGAGGAATGGGTCAACGAGGAGGGCGCCGAGGTCAGGAAGGAGCATATCGATCGCGTCGTGAGGGGGTGGAAGGCGAAGGGCATGTTCGAGGAGTGTCTCGGCGGTGCGTCGCGGCGATACTGGCTGTCGGCTTGAACGGAGGCAGTCGATGCTGACATGACTCCACCATTCCATCTCCCGCACAGGCTGGCGCGACGAGGAGTACACGATCTACGCCCCCTCTCCTCCCGTTCCCTCCAAGTTCCCCTCCTCTTCCGACGATGACGACTCCGAGCCTCTGTCGAACCCGCTGCCCGGCTCGAACGAGGCGTTCAGGATGGAGCGCTGCGCTTGCTCTTTGTTTGGCGTGCCGACCTTCGGGGTGCACTTGACTGGTGCGTGGACGACGCGGCTTCGGCACCAGCGCTTCCAAGCAGCACCTTGCTGATAGAGGTTCTTGCTGTATGCACAGCCTACGTCGGCGGTGATGGCAAGCCCTTGCGTTTCTGGATCCCCCGTCGCGCAGCAACCAAGCCGACGTGAGTTGCGCAATAGTCTCGCTTCCTCCCCCACCTACTGACGCTCGCCGGTCGTCACAGTTGGCCGTCGTACCTCGACAACACCGTCGCAGGTGGCATCACAGCGGGCGACATGCCCCGTCACTCGATTATCCGCGAATGCTGGGAAGAAGCGTCCCTCGACCCTGCATGGGTCGCGCCTCGCCTCCGCCAAGCCGGCGTCGTCACGTACCACTACCGCACGGACTGGGGCTGGCTCCAGCCTGAGGTGCAATACGTCTACGACCTCGAGCTGCCGGACCCGGACAACCTCGCCGACGGCGAACACAAGGTCATCCCGACGACGAACCCGGCTGACGGCGAGGTGGAGAGCTTCGAGCTCCTCTCACTCGAGGAGGTCGTCCAGCGCATGGTCGCGGGCGAGTTCAAGCCCAACTGCGCGCTGTTCGTTCCATCCAAACGTCTTTGTCTCGCATAGACTGACCCGCGCTTCTCTCGGCAGCGTCCTCCTCGATTTCTTCATGCGCCACGGCCTGCTCACTCCCGAGTCGGACACGCGCTTCCTCGAGATTGCCGCGCGCCTGCGCAAGCCCCTCGGCCTGCCCGGTCCCGCATAGACGGACGTGAAGCTCTGCTCACGAAGAAACGAACCGTATCGAGTTGTGCAAAGAAGTCCTCAGTATCCGACTTGGACCGCGTTCGAGACGACAAGCTGCGTTGCGAGATTTTGCGAGGTATGCAAGAGGTACGCTAAACCAGAGCGAAGGGGAATCAACCAAGACGAGGGAAAGGGAAGGGTAACCATCGAGAGAACGGGAATAAAGGCGCGTGAGAAAGGGTAGTCGTTAAGCTAAGTCGTGAAAGCGAAAGAGAGAGTGTCTGTGCGTCGATGGAGACTAGGTGTTGACCTCCCACTGGACGTTGATGGCGTTCGCCCAGGCGGACGCCTCTTTGCGGTTCTTCGAAGCGTTGTCGGCGATGCAGCGGAAGTAGCAGATGGCCTTGTCGCCAATCTTCACGCGGAGGACTGCGAGGATACAGTCAGCACGAGCGAGACGACCGGACCGACGGAAAAGCGGCGAAAACGCACGGTCGTCGGCGCCAAAGACGCAAGCGGGAGGTTCGCTTCGCCCAGAGCTGCCGAAGGGAGTCCCGCGTGCGCTGTTGAGCCGCAAGACGGTGTAGAGCTCGACCGGCGAGTTCGGGTCTGCGTCGAACGGCGGCGGCGGTCGTCGGCACAGGACGAGGAGGTCGGTGCACAGCAGCGCGATCTGTGCGACGGGAAGGTCAGCGAAATAGAGCCTCAAAGGTCCACTCCGCACGCACCAGCTCCACCTGCTTCGTGTCCTGGAAGAGTGTCGCGACCGGCTCTGGCTGCTCGAGCAAGCGCCCGCTCGTCGTGCGGTACGGACTTGGTGGCTGCTGCTCCATCTGCGTCGTCGAGCGTTTGACGGACCGGACGAGGGTAATGTAGCCGCTGCGGAGGAGCGTGCGGTGCGGCTGGACGAGTGGCGACTTGAACTTGGTGACGAGTCGGTTCTGCCACATGACGAGCTGAGCGCGACCTTCGTTCTCGCGCTTGCTCTCGTTGAGTGTGGTGGCGACGGCGTCCATCTCGGCGACAGCCTGCGCGATGATTGGATGAGGCGCGAAGGGCGAGTCCGGCGGGAGCGAAGACGCCAGGACATCTGCTGTAGAGTCGATTGGGGCGGGTGTGCAGGACGAGAGAGACTCGAGCAACAGTCGGTAGCGAGGGATGCGCTGGATCGGGAGTAGGAGGTACGACTCGAGCGAAATTTGCGAATGTGACGGGTGCGCCCGGCAGCGCTGCAGCCATGGAGTGGTGAGCGAAGGCATAGCGAAGAAGCGAACGCCCACGCACCTTCAGCCAACTCCGTATCCGCTTGCGCTGGCTCGAGGACAACGTCTGAGCGATCGAGGCGGTTGCATCGAACGTCGTCGACGATGCGAGGGCGGGCGAAGACAGGGCGGGGGACACAGCGCCGGCGCTCGGACGGTTCGAGCTGTTCTTGCCCCAGCTCTGGATGCGAGCGAGAGCGTCGTCGAAGCCGTTGATGTAGCCCGAGTAGATCCTGCGCACGCAAACAAGGTCAGCAGAGAGAGTGAGGCAGCTGTGCTGGCGCTAACGCACTTCATGAAGGAGGCGTGGTCGACAAAGACCTCGCCAACCTTTTCCGCAACCGTCGTCGAGTCGCCGCCGGTGCGAACAGCCGCGAGCAAGTCGGGCAAGAGGATCTTGCGGTGAAAGTCGCGAATCGCCTCCTGCTCCTCGAAGCATGGTCAGCAAACGCCCGTGAGCTGGAAGAGTGGGCGCAAACCCACGATGTTGCCAAAGACAGCCCTGCGCTCGGCGGTCGGGACGACCGTGTCCTTCTTGCCGCCGTTCATGCTGCTGCTGACAGGCACGCTTGCGCTCGCAACGTAGATGCCGCACAACTCCTCGAGCCCACGCAGGTACGACTGCTCGGTCGCGACAATCTCCTTGAGGATCGCGTCGCGCTTGGCTGGGTCGTCGTTGACCTTCGAAGCCGCAAGATCTGGCATCGAAAGAATGAAGGATGAGCGGTCGGACGGATCGGGCGTATCGTCGAGGAACTGCGAAAAGTGGGCAGACGAGCCTCGTCGGACTGAGCCGTTCGAAGGAAGCCGACGGGTGCTCTGCGCTCGGCGCATCGAGGCGGGCGACGCAGGTCGAGGCGATCCTCCGGGAGTGAGCGCGCCGAGCGAAGGCGAATGGCGCAGGTGCGGTGACGGGTTGTCGAGCGGAATAGCCGGGAGCAAGACGTCGGGTGAGAGGTCGTCGAGGTCGCGAAGGTAGGCGAGGACGTTGCGAAGGGCGGATGCGTGGTCATTCAGCGCTGGAGTACCGGGCGAAGCGGGCGCCGGCGAGAAGGCGTCGAGCAAGAGGAACGACTTGCGCTTGTTGACAGGCGGCGCACTTCGCGGGGCCTGTGCTGGCCCCTTCGACCGCTTGATCGTCTTGCGTCCGAGCGAGCCAAACATCCCACCGCTTGACGGGACCTGCTTCTCCGCCTCCGACTCTTCTCCTCGCGTGACAGGTTGCGAGAACGTCCTCGCGTCTGCATCGAGCGCACCAGGCCGCTTCGACGCACTCGACGACGACCGCAACCGACCGGCCGATACCTTCTTGAGCAGCCGCTGACCCCACTTGCGCTTCTCCTTCTTGTCCGCGTCGACCGGTTCGGCGTTGGTTTCGCCACTCGCACTGAATGCAGGCGAAGGTGTCGGCAGCGGACTCGCATCTTCGCGCAGCATGAGGCTGCCGAGCGACTCGCTCAAGTCGCCGCGAGACGAGGCGCGCGACAAGGCGGGCGACGGCGCGACGGAACTGGACCATGCCGGAATCGACGAGTTTGAGCGCGAGCGAGCGAAGGCGGGAGAGGGAGGGCGCGAGTCGGCGAACTGGGGTGGAGGCGGGAGTGGCGAAGGTGTGCTGCGGAAAGACGCTGGCGGGATGGGCGAAGGAGCGTGCGAGAGTGGCGTCCGTGCACCGTCTTCGCGCTCGACACCGGCGTCGACGAGCAGAGGCCGCACGAGGTTCTGCACCTCCCAGACGAAGGGGTTCTCGTCGATTAGGAACGTCTCGAGCGCGGTGAGGCGGCACAACCACGACGGGAGCATTCTGAGCCGATTCCGCCGGAGCGAGAGCGTGTGGAGCCTCGTGAGCTGCGAGAGCGAATTCGGCAAGCTCGCGAGATTGCACTCGTCGGCGAGGAGGACATTGAGGGCGGGCAGAGTGCCGAGGAAGGACGGAAGAGTCGACATGGCGAGCGAATTGCCCGAGACGTCGAGTTCTTGGAGGAAGCAGCACGAGGCGATGGCGGACGGGATTTCGGAAAGGCCGCATTCGCGAATGTCGAGAACGACGAGGCCGTGCGTGAGCATTGGGACGGCGTTTGTGAGGAGCGGCGCGATCTGGAACGGCGTCTTGCTGCGAGCGAGGATGAGGTGCGTCGTTTCTGTAGAGGAGACCGAGGAGGACATCAGCACAATCCGGCTGAGGCCGAAGTATGTAAAGAGCGTCTGGCCCCACTCACCTCGCGGCAACTCCCTCTTTTCGACCGGCGAATCGCTCCAATCAACCACATCCTCCCTCTCCCTCTCCGCCTGTCCTGCTCCCGCCGTACTGACCGCAGGCGACCCCCTCCACGCCACATCCTCATTCCACAAACTCGTCGCCTTCTCATTCCTCCCGAACGCATTTGGCGGCGGAACGCGAGTGTCGATCTGGAACCCGAACGAATCGTCGCCTTCGTCATCCTCGTCATCGTCGTCTTCGCCAGCATCCGTGGTGGAGACAAAGTCTGTCTCGTCTGCAATCCCGAGACCGGGGGCGGGGGAGAGATAGTCGCGGGTAGAGGGGGCGGGGCGGTAATTTGGGAGGTTGAGGAGCGCTGGACGGCGAGAAGGGGAGGCGAGTAAAGTTCCGGCGCTGGGTCCGAAAGAGTGGGTCGCTGGATGAGGGTGAGTTGAGGGGAAGTGAGGCGGCAGAGGCGGCACAGGCGGGACGGGGTCCGCCGTGCGGAGCCCGTCCACAACGAGCGTCTTCTCCTCCTCCACCGCCGACTCCGCAGCATCTTCGTCCTGCGCAGTCCAATCCGCCACTCCCGCAGACGACGGATCGGACCTCGCAAAGACACCCGGCAGCGGGCTAGGCAAGCTCTTCGCGTACTGGCTCAGCCGCTCCAACTCGCGGTCGAGGTCGTCCTCGTTCAGCATAGGCGGGACGGTGGCGCTCAAAGGCGAGGAGACAGTGGTCGAGGAAGACGATGCGGCTGAGGCGGTGAAGAAGTTAAGTCCGAGGCCCTTGAGCGTATTGGTAGTCGAGGAGGGCGACATGGGCGGTGCGAGGTGGAGCTGGAGGGGCTCGACGGGCCGTGTCCGCTTCAAAGCTGGCGAGGCGGCATGCGGGTCGACCGCAGCCAAGTCGGACGAGGGAAACGACGGAGACGAATAGTCGACCGTCGTCGCAGGCGTCGCAGCGTTCCATGGTTCGCCGTCATCTTCGACCTCCTCCTCGAGCGACGAGTAGAAGACAGCCGAGTTGCGCGCTGAGGCGGACGAGGCGGTTGAGAGGGCGGGGGTGCGGTCTGTGCTGGCAGTCCCAGCACGCAGGCGAGGGAAGGCGAGGCCGCCTGCCTCTTCGAGCGACGGCGAATCGAACGGTTGGATGGCGGAAGGGTTGCCCGAGTCGACATGACCTGCGTCGGGAGTTCCGCCGCCTCCTTCTGTCGCTGCGCCCGAGTCGGCCGACGAAGCGATGGACGCCCGACTCGGTGGACGCGCATGACTCTTCGGTGGACGAGGCGGGCGGGCGGGAGAGTCGGCGAGGGCGGCGAGGGCGGCGGAAGAGAGGGTGCGAGAGGATCTTGGCGGCGAGCGGGGGACTGGACGTGCTGAGGTAGACGTGGGCGGTTCGGCGGATGCAGCGTAGTATTTAGACGAGACCGACGAGGTGGAACGGCTTGTCGAAAGAGTAGTGGACGTAGGACGGTTGTTGGGGTGGACGAGGGAGTCGTCGAGGAGGTCCGCGAGCCCGGTCTGCTCGAGGAGCTCGCTCGTGCGCCTGTCCAACACACTTCCCTCACGCTCATGCAAGCCTTCCGCATGCGGGCGCGCCCGAGGAAGCGCGTCTCGCCGCTGATGACCCGTCGAAACCGAATCGAGTGGTTGAGGCAGCGAGTGCTCGCCCGCAACCGCACGCAGGCCGCCCGTCCCACCATGCGACAGTCCATCATGGCCGAATCGCCTGTCCTGCGCGTCTCGCTCGCCGTCCGACCGCGTTCTCCCACCTCCCGAAGCTCCTGTCTCCTTCATCAGTTTCGAGGACTCCCCATCGACTGGCGGTCTTTGGGCGGGATTGGCGAGCGAAAGAGGGCTCGTAGGCGTATTAAAGAGCGACAAGTGAGTGTCTGACCCGCTCATGCGCGGTGATCGCGGCGTGTGAGCGCGGTCGAGGTGAAGGAGCGAAAGAGGAGCGGTGTCTGCGCGATCAAGCTGTGAGTGGGTGGATCTCGACGTGGACAGCTCGTGCGCACCCTGAGCAACGTCGACAGCGCCGTCGCAGCCAGAAAAGAGCGGTTGCGAGGAGAGAGAGAAAGAGAGGGACGGGGAGCGGGACGAGGTGTCGATCCTCTTCCTGTCTCACGGGTGCAGACCTCGCACTGACTGATCCGCACGCTCGGTTGATTGCAAGGCTTGGAACGGGTGTCCCAAGAAGTTCCAGCGATGGCGAAGATGCGGCCTCAGAAGACTTGCAAGTCGACGGACGGCTCCTTTGCGAGCTTCCCGCTCAGTACGGCGCAGATGAGAGCACAGCGGGTTCGCGTGAGACGTTGGAAGACGCGTCCTCGCCGAAGAACGACGCAGGAGGCGAGTGGGCGTCCAGGTCCCACCGCCTTCTTTCGAGACCACCGAACGCGCGAGGGCTTCCGTCGAGGCCAGCTTCTGTCTCAGCGAATGTGTGCAGATCTGCAGGAAGAGTTCGGGCTAGCGGTGGGAAGCAGATCCTCCGCGGTTGGTTGTCCCGCTAAAAGACGGTCAGACGATTCGATCCTCGCGACGAGTGCGTTGCCCGTCCTGATGGTCAGCATCGGTGCCTTCCTAGGCTGCTTCATCCAGCACAAGGTGCACTCCGCACCCGCTACCGAACAAAGGGGAGAGACTCGCGGTGCGAGCAGAGGAGCTGTTCTGCTCCTCCTACGAGGTCGACTTCCGCTCGTCCAGCCGCTTCTGGTCAACGATAAGCCACGAACAGTAATACAGCGCCAGCGCGATAGCTTGAAGCGTTTCTCAAGATGTACATGCGAGAAAAGAGAGGACGCTTCTATCGACTTCACGCGTGGCCGTTCGAGCCCTGCGCCTTCGGGACCTTGGCAGTCGAGCGGCGTACAAGCTGCACCGATGAGCGAGATTAGCATTAAGTGGAAGCGGAAGCGAACAAAGAGGTCGCAACGCACCTTTCTCGGCCTATGCGTGACCCTCGCCTTGCCCTTACTCATCTTCTTCAAGATCGCAAACTCTTTCCGTCCCGTCGCGCGGCAGAGAGCGTAGAAGCGACTCGTCGGGTCTTCGAGGAGCTTGGCGGGCGACTCGAACTCGATCAGCTTGCCTTTGTCCAGGAGGAGGATCTTGTCAAAGTCGATGATGGTGCGGCTGCAGGGCGCACGAGAGTCAGCCTGAGATCAGAGAGCGCGGGCGAGGGAACGTACAGCCTGTGTGCGATGACGAGGAGCGTCGCGTCGGCGAACTCTTCCCGGATTGTCTGGGTGATGCTGCGAGCGGAGAATGAGAGTCAGCGAAGGCGATGCGGGCGTTCGAACTTCTGCGACGCACAGCTCGTCCGTCTCTGTGAACAAGGGAGAAGCGTCAGGCTGCTGGAAACTCCGAACGAGCAGGGGAAGATGGAACGCACCGTGGTCGGTCGAAGCGGTCGCCTCGTCAAGCAAGAGGATCTTGTTCCGCTTGAGCAGCGCACGAGCCATGCAGAGCAGCTGCCGCTGACCAGTCGAGTAGTTGCTTCCCTACAAACGCATAAAACTGTCAGTAGGGTCAAGCTCGAAAGAAGTCAGACGAGACGCACTCCTTCGGCGACATCAGCATCAAGGTTCCAGAAGACCGAGCGGTTGGTGCCGGCTTCTTGTTCGTCCGGCCGCTCCTCCTCGCGGATGAGGTGGACGCGGCGGAGGGCGTCGAAGATCTCGGCGTCCTCTGCAAAGGCGTGAGCGGATCAGCTAGAGAGCACGAGCTGGAACGGGACGAATGTCGCGCGCACCGTACTGCTCAAACATGTCGAGCGTCGAGCGGAGCGTGCCGGAGAGGATGACTGAAAAGGCGAGTCGGTCAGCCAGAGAAGCGTGACGAAGCGACGAGACGAACTCACCCGGATCTTGCGGAACGATCGTCAGACGCGACCGCAAGTCGAGCAGACCGATCTTGGAGATGTCGATGCCGTCGACAACAATGGCTCCCGAGTGAGCCTCGACGAAGCGGAAGAAAGATGCCGCGAGCGTCGACTTGCCGCACCCCGTCGAACCGACGATGCCGATCTTCTCGCCGGCCTTGACAGAGAAGGTCAACCCGTGGAGAACGTCGGGCAGTTCGGGCGCGTAGCGGATGTGCAGGTTCTTGACCTCGATGTTGCCGGTCGGCCAGTGAGCGGGCGGGCGCGGTTCGACGATCTCGGCGGCCTGCGACGATGCGAGGGTCAGTATGCCGTGCTGAGACGCGAAAGAGCCCCGCCCGACGCACCTCCTGCTTGATCTCGCTGAACTCCTTTGTCCGCTCGACGCCGACCATCGACAGCTCGAGCTGGGTGTAGCGCCGGACGAGGAACAGGATGTCGTTCGAGATGTTGAGGGCGAAGGTGAGCGTGAAGCCGGCGAGAGCTGCATCGACCTTGTCGCCTGCCGAGATAAGGACGTAGCCGGTCAAGGCGACGACCGTCGCGCTGAGGAGCGAGAAGCGCATCGACAGCCAGCGCTGCGAAGGCCGACCGAAATGCAAGTCAGCTCCTGCTTGAACGACAGCGCCGGGAGATCAATCGAGAACTCACGTTCGTGCCCCAGAGGTACCAGTAGAAGGTGACGTTGGTCGTCGCGCGGTCGAGCATCATCGCCATGAACCGGGCACTGCTGCCGAATGCGCGAATGACGGCGACGCCGGCGATCGCCTCGCCGTAGATGCTGAACAGCGGACTCTTGCTGACCGAGTCGAGGCGGCGGAACTCGCGGGCCGAGGTCTGGAAAAGGCGGGCGTCGCGATAGTAAAGGACCGAGATGAGGGCGAAGCCGAGGAGGAATGTCGGTGCGGACGAGGCGACGACGCTGAGAGTCGTGACGACGCCGAGGCCGTACATGAGCGACCGGCCAAAGTTGTCGGGCAGCGAGCTGTCGATGCCTTCGAGATCCTTGCTGAAGCGATTCTGGATCCTGCCGAGCGCCTGGCTGTCGAACCAGCGGAGGGGTGCGCGGAGGACGGCGTGCAAGAGTCGTTCGTGGAGAACGGCTGAGGAACGGAGCGTTCCCGCGTAAAGGACGAACCACTGGGCGGTGTCGACGAAGGCGGCCAAGACTGACAGGATGGCATAGAGGATAAGGTAGTAGTTGGTGCTGTGCGCCGAGTCAGGACCAGCGTCTGCGAAGAGTAAAGTCAGCTCGTCGAGACGAGAACGGCGGGGAGGGAAACGCACCTCCGGACCACTTTCCGAGCCACCACGTCTGCGCGACGTCCGCAAGCTTGGCGCCAGCGAACGCGACGACAAACCACATCCAGAAGAACAGGCCGCCCATCGAGCCGAGGTAGAGCTTCCACACGTCGGCGGAGACCTTTCCGACAGCCCTGGTCTCCTCCTCGACGAGCTTGCGCGGCTTGTGCTCGCCCTTCGATGTTGGCGACACCTTGTCCTTCTTCTGGTCGTCGCCATCGATCGTCGGATCTTGCGGCTCGGAGTCGGACTCGTCTTCCTCGCCAGACTCGCTAGCCGAGGTGACGTCGGTGGACGAAGCAGGCGTCGAGTCGTTTCCCTCGGCGACGATTTGCGCGAAGGTCTTGTTCTTGGGCTTGCCGGCGTTGGGCGGGAGGAATGTCGCAGGTTTACGCGGCGAGGTCGAGAGGACGGACGGCTTCTTGGGCGAGGTCGAGAGCACGCCGTCCGCTTTCGGCTCCTCGTCCGCCGCATCCTTGTCGTCGCCAGCGATCGCCTTGTAGCCGTCCGACTCGAAGAACTCGCTCGACGAGCCGGAGAAGGCGACGCGGCCGTTCTCGAGCGAGACCTGCGAATCTAGAGTGGTCAGTCGGAGCGCAAGAGGCGGCGAGCAGACCCTACGCACAACAAAGCCTGCTCCGGGCGCGGTGAGCTGGACGTGGTGCGAGACGAGGATCACCGTGCGGCCCTTGAGTAGCGGGCCCTTGAGGCACTGCTCGTAGATGTGTGCGGCGGTGTGCGCATCGACAGCCGAAAGAACATCGTCGAGGAGGAGGATGCCAGCGCGAGAGTAGACAGCGCGAGCGAGCGAGACGCGCGCCTTCTGTCCGCCAGAGAGGTTGATGCCCTTCTCGCCAATCTCGGTGCTGTCGCCGTCCTCGAGGATGGCCAAGTCGCTCGTCAAGCTGCACGCCGCGAGGGTTTTCTCGTACCGTTCTTTGCGGAACGGCAGGCCGAAGAGGATGTTGTTCCGCACGCTGTCGTTCATGAGCCAGGCTTGTTGCGGGACGAAGGCGGTGTGCGAGGGGGCGATCCAGTTCTCCTCGGTGAGGTAGGCGTCCCAGTCGAGGGAGGGGAGGGCGATGGCGGACGGCGGCGAGCGCGGGCAGTGGACCGAGCCGGAGAGGACGTCGACTTCGCCGAGGAGGGCTGCGCGTTCGAAGCGCAGCGCGATTAGTCTTCACTCATACGGCGAGCGAATAGAATGACAGCGATCTCACGGACGCACCAAGGAGCGACAACGTCTTTCCACTACCGAGCCTGCCGCAAATAAGCGACATCTCGCCCTTCGGAAACTCGAGCGTCAAGTCCTGCAACTCGAACGGCTTCTGCGCGCCCTCGTCCTCCTCGTCGTCGTCCTTTTCGTCCTCGTGTTGAGGCCACGTGACCGTCGCATGGTCGAACGCGACGCGCTCGTCCGACCCGTCCGTCTCGAGTCCCGTCACGCCCGCTCCTCCACCCTCAGCAGAAACCGGCACGTCCATCCCTTGCAAATGCTCAATCTCCGGCATGCGGAGGAACTTTTCGATCCTGCGCAGACTAACGAGCGACTGGAGCGCGGACTGAAGGACGTCCGGTACGACGTTTAGGGCGAAGCGGAGTTCGTTCCAGACTGAGAGGGCGGTGAAGGCTGTCGAGGGCGTGAGTTGGCGGTTCATCAGGAGCGGGGAGGTGTAGGCCCAGAACGAGACGAGGATGCACTGCGCTCACGAGTCCATGAGCATCTCGCTCTCCCTCGGAGAATGGTGCGGGACTCACGAGTATAGGCGAGATGGACCAAATTCCCTGGAACGACACCTCGAGGAAATAGTTCCACCTGAGCGTCTTCAACTCGTCCCTCCTGGCATCAAGGATGCGCTTCTCGAACGGCCGCTCGAAAGCGTAGAACTTGATCATCCGGATCGAGCCGAGGACTTCGTTCATGAGCGAGACGCGGCGGTCGCGGGTGGCCATCTGTGCGACGGGCGGGCGGGAGGGCGTTAGCGAGCTGAGCGAGCCGTGCGGGCGTGAGCGGGAGACGTACGAGCTTATCCTGCGTCGTCATGAACTGACTCGAAGCCCTGCGTACGCATCCCACAACCTATCAGCTCACCTTCTCGCAAGAGGAGGGATTGGGGAAAGGGGACGGGGCGAACGCACCAATTGTTGAGCGGCAAGAACAAGACCGCCACAGCTATACCGATGAGCGCCGCGTAGCCGATCAAGGAGTAGAGGAAGACTGGTGCGCCACGAGCATCGTCAGTGCGAGGAGCAGCAGGACGGAAAGGGGAGGGGGAGGACGAAACTCGTGCCGATGAAGATCTCGATTGGGGCGTCCCAGCTGCGCGCGTCGAGGGACGAGCCGTCAGTCTCGTCCGGCTCAACTGGCCCTACGTTCGCCTGCGCGCTACAAAAGCGACACGAGCGAGCGAGAGAGTGAGCGAGGAGCGAGACGGCGCGGACGTACCACGAGAAAGCCCAAGTCGCAAAGTCCGCCACCCTTCACACGTCGCGATACACAACCTCATCAGCTGCATCCTCGACCTCAGAAAGAGAGTCAAGGGAGGAGGCGAGGCCGACGCACCGCTCCGAGTCGATCGCAAACAGGTTCGTCAACGAGCTCTTAGTCTTGAAGCCTCCCGTTCCTTCCTTCGCCTCTTCCTCTTCGTCGTCGTCTCCCTCGTCAGCGTCGTTCGAGTCGTTCGAATTCGGGGAAGACGGGGAGGAAGTGGAAGGGGCAGAGATGTCTTTCCGCCGGAGGGTCTTGTCAAAGATCAGGGTGTTGAGTTGGACTCGAATACCGGTGGAGAGCATCGAATTCGAGACTGTTTCCCTCACGTACTCGCTGATATCAGTACTCGCCCGGGGAAGGAGAGAGGAAGGGAAGGAGCGCACCAAACCACAACTGTCCACTAACGAGACTCTCCACCACCGCTCCCACGAGTAGCCCGACGCAGTAGACGTAGCCCCACTGGAGGGACTGGTCTGGGCTGGTAGGGCGCTCTTCGAGGAAGAGGACTAGGCGTTGGAGGAAGAAGGCAGGGACGTAGCTGCGGCACAGCAGGCGTCAATGGGACGTTGGGAGAGATGGTAAGAAGGCGAGGAGGGACGGACTAGAGCACTGCGTTGATTACCGAGAGGCTGATCTCTGCTCGTCGCACCAACCCTCGTCAGTTCACAGTGAGGAGTAGACGCGGGGGCGGGGACTCACGCCAGAAGAACAACCTGCGATTAACAACCACGATCCTCCAAAGCAACGGATTCCAACCCCTCGGCGCCTTGTGCATCAACTCCTTCGACTCTTTGATCTTCCTCCAAGCGTTCGGGGCGCGGTCCGCTGCTGGAATCGCCGGGAGGGTTCCTTCGTCCATCGGTTCCGCGCTGGTGTAAGAGGTATGCAGGACGGGAGAGATCCATGAGAAGAGGAGGAGCGAGAGTGGGGAGGTCGAGGGGAGGGTGATTATGGGTTTCGCGGGGGTGTGCGAGGGATGGATGAGGGGTGCGGAGTGAGGGGTCGTTCCGAGGAGGAGGAAGGCGGCGAGTTGGAGTGATGTCGAGGCGAGGAGGATGGCCATTTGAGCGGCGTACGAAGGGGAGCCGTACGATTCGCGAGGAGGGAGGAGGGAGAGACCCGTTGAGCGCGGGAGGAGCCATCGGAGGAGAGTGAGGGCGAGGAAGGCGGAAGTGAGGGTGAAGAGGAGGACGGTGAGGCGCCAGTGGGTTTTGAGCGAGGCGCGCGAGGCGGGAATCGGGTGCGGGAAGGAGAGGAGGGAGAGGGCAAAGGTCACAGTCTGTGCGGAGGGTACGAGTCAGTCCTGCGCAAAGTGAGCGGCGCAAGAAGCGAACGCACCCAGAAGACGACCCTCGCCGCCCGCTCGACCCAGTCCCGCCATCCGTACCGCCCGAACGCAAGCGGTTCCCACCCGACCCGGAACAACTCGAGCGCCAACAAGGCGGTCAAGACGACACACGCAGCCGCCTTCTTCGTGCGCCTCAAGTGCGGGTAGAAGTGGTCCGGGTCGACTTCGGTGTCCTTTTCCGCTGCGTCGTCTGCCTTGTCGTCTTGGTCGTCGTTCAGTTGGATTGGCTGTGTTCGCGTCGCAGGCAGGGAGAGAGCGACGGCGGTGGATGCGACGCAGGCGGGGACGGCGAGGGCGAGGTGAGGGATCCAGGGGTGGACGACGAGCGAGCGCGGGAGAGCGCCCAGTGCGAACACGAGCATCGTAGCCTCAGTCCGAACCTGTCAGCGCACACACCAGCACACACACAGCGAGTGGGAAGAAGAAGAAGAGAGGACCCGACATCATCATCGTGTCACTCCTCCAAACCGTGTGGCTATCGAGTGGACAGTTACTCGTAGAGTGTACTCGTATTTGCTGGCTCACTCGCGCATCAAAGCGAGCTGTGGTGGAAGAGGTGAGGGACGGCACTCCCCCGCCTCCTGTCGTCGTCCTTGACGCTCGCTCTCGCCGTGCTGCCTCGCTGGGACCGTCGAGCTGTCTGCTTACTCTCTCTGACCACGGCTACACCGTCGCCGCCCGCCCCGCCGCGCAGAGACGACGACGACAGCCTCGCTCGCTCCTCCCCACTTCACGAAACTCTCCATTGCGCGGTGACGGCGTGTGAGGGGGCGCGGGACAGTCGAGGACACGCATAAAGATGGCAGGCGACGGGGTGGACGACCCGTACGTTCCCTTCGCTCCGAGAGAACTCATTCACAGCTCCCTAACTCTCTTCGTCCCTCAACTTCCCGCCCTCCTAGCTCCTTCACCTCCCCCTCCTCCGCCCTAACGCACTACCGCACGCTCTGCACTTCTCTCCAATCGCAACTCCAATCCGCCGAAGACGACCTGCGCGATTTGCGCGAGTTGCAGGACGAGTTGGAGCGCGAGTTGGAGAGGTTTGAGGAGGGCGAGAGGGGGATGAGAGGGGAGGTGGAAGGGTTGAGGGAGGAGAGGGAGGAGTGGAAGGTGAGTGTATGAGCCGTGCAGGGCGAGCGATGGGCCGTTCTGCTGACGGCTCGGTTTCGCTTGTTCTTCCTTCGCTTCTTTCGCTCGACTCGCTTTCCCCGGCTATTCGTCCTTTTCGACGCTTCCCCGCACTCTCGACGACCCTCTCAACTACCGCATTTCGCTCCGAATTGCCGGCCCCGACTTTGTCGCCCTCGACTCCGTTGTCCGTCTTTGCGCTTTCCCACCACCCCGCCAAACCCGCTCGCTCGACACTGCGCCCTCCCGCAGTCCAAATACCTCCTCGCCCTCTCCTCCCACTCCTCAACCATAACGCACATGCAAAAAGAGCTCGAGTCGCTGCGTCTCACGGAGCGCGGGTTGAGGAACAAGTTGAGAGAGGTCGAGGTGGATAACGATGATCTCGAGGGACGGGAACGGTGCATCCCTCTCCGCCTTCCTTTTCTCCTTGAACTGGACTGACATAGAGGGGCGTAGGGCGACGAGTTCGAGTCTGGCAGACCTCGAAGCGCGGTACAACAAGTCACTTGAGAGGATCGCGTTGTTGGAGGAAGAGTTGGTGGGGAAGGCGAGGTTGGAGGAGGAAGTTCAGAGGGCTAGGGACGAGTTGCGAGGTGCGTCTTGCTCCCTTCCCTTTCCTCGCGAAGTTTCTCGGGGCGGGATGCTGATGGGAAGACGGGCAGACTTGAACGAGGAATTGGCGATCACGAAATCGCAACTTGATACCGCTACCGCCCGCCTCGCCTCACAGCACACCGACTCGAACGCGACACCTACGAAGCCCCCACCGCGTCGTCGAACTCCTTCTCCGCCCGCCTCGCCGCAAACTCCCACAATCGAGTTTGTCCAACCTACGCCCGTTTCATCACGCACGACTCCTACGACCTCGGCTTCTCCATCGAAGCTTCCTCGCCCGCTTTCGTTCTCCTCCTCCTCGGGCTCGGGGTCGCTAGCTAACCTCCCTCCCGCTCCGCTCTCCCGCTCCACGAGGCTCTCACACCTCCCCTCCCTCTCCTCCTCCCCAACCACCACCGCCTCACCCTCCAAGCTTCCGCAATCGACAGCAGCCCGGTTAACGCGCAGCGACACGGCGAGCATGATCCGGGAGATGCAGGCTATGACTGGTCGAGTGAGGCGGTTGACGGAACGGTTGGATCAGGGTCGGGGGCCTGCGCCGCGGAGGGGAGGGGGGAGGGGGAGTCCGAGTTTGGGGAACTTGAGTGCGCGCGCGGCGGGCGGAGGGATGGGAGGGGGGGGGGGAGGGATGACGAGGAGTTCGACTATGCGCTTGCCTGCTACCACTTCCGCGACGAGCTCTCGACCGTCAAGTCGGCTCGACTCGCACTCCCATCCGCAAACGCAATCGACTCGCCCACCTTCACGCTCCGCCCTCCGCGCCTCGATAGGCTCGTCGATTCGTCCACCAAGTCGGCTGAGCGTCTCCTCTACTTCGACCTCGACGAGCGGGACAAGTCGAGCTGCGTCGCCTACGCCCGGAGTGAGGCCGAGTTCGAGGCTCGGAGGGTTGGGAAGGAGTGTCGGACCTGGAGGAGGAGGAGGAGGAGGAGGGAATCCGCCTGTCGCAGGACTGGCGAGTTCTATCCGCGCAGGCGCGACGCACGTCAGACGCCAATCAAGCACCTCCTCCTCTACTTCGGGGCGCTCAACGCCCTCTGAAGACCCTCTGCGTCGCTCGACCGCCTCAGGACTCGGACTCGGACGGCCCTCGAGCGCATTAGGACAGTCGCAAGGCCCAGGAGGGGCGAGACGAGCGAGTGGAGGGTTTGGGTTGCTGGGGAGGAGGGTGTCCCTCGCGAACGGACGCGAGAGGAGGGAGAGGGAGAGGGAGGAGGTACCGCCTGTTCCGAGGTTGCCTGGGCGGTAAGGGAGTGTGATTCTGAGTGCATTGCATTCGCATTCGAGTGAGTGAGAGGGTGATAGGGAGAAGAGAGGAAAACGTTCGCCAGCAACGACGACGAGGAGAGGGTTGTCCTTCGTCCGCCCATTTCCGCCCGCCCTTGTCCCGCGCCGTGCTAACTCTACACCGTCCGGCTCGCCCGTCGCCACCAACGCTGCTCGCCGTGCGATACGGCGCGCTGAATTTGGGTGGGTGGGTGTTGGTGCTCCGCTCACAGCATCCCGCATGGTCGCTGTTCGGTGAGCACGCCGGGTTATCAGCTGGTTGCTGGGGTTCTAGACGCGGGTCAAACGGATTGCCACACACGCTCACGCGACCCGCTTCTCTTCGCTCTCGCTCTCTCTTGCTCCGCTCGCACGCTCGGACACCGCTCAACCTCTCCTCGCTCGCTCTCGCCTCGAGTGCTAGTGGGCTGGCCATGGCTACCACTTCCCTCTCAATCGAGCCGAAAGCCGTCCCGACGCGCTCACCGTCCGAACTCAGCTCGGACGCCGACGACGAGAAGCTCTCGACTTCGACTCCCTCCGCGGTGAAGGGGACGACGACGGATGTCGAGGCTGCGGATGGGACGGGCAAACTCGCTCGGTTGACGGCGTACCTTGCCGGGATCGGGATCGAGACGAGGAGCTTGGAGCGGGTGCAGGAGGACCAGCGCGAGCAGGTGCGCCCTCCTGACACTCTTGGTCTCGCTGGACACTGTGGCTGAATCTGTCTCCTCGTCGCGCCGTGGCGACAGCTGCCGTTGTGGCGGGGGGGGGGGGGGGGGGG